CACTTGAACTCCCAACTTCTTAACTCCCATCACTTGAACCACTGACCTTGCAGATCAAACAGACTTTGAAGTCCAGTCTGTTAACTGACAGTACCACACCAAGACTCCTTATGATTGTGTGAGGCCATGGAAATAAAGAGTACGGGACTCTAATGTGGAGATGGGTTAGTTTTGCCATCCCAGTAGATTTAAAAGGAGTCATCTCAAAAGCAGGGACTGATGATCCCAAGACCATCAAGAGAGAAGAGCTATGGGCAAAGGATGAGCCCTCTACTTGGAAAAGTAGCTGAGGCAGAGGTGGAGGCATGGAGACACAGAGCATCTGTGGGCTTCTCTACTCATGGACTGAGAAAGTTAAGTGGCTATGGATAGGAAGCTGGCTTGTAAATGTTGGTCTTTGTGCATCTACAGACTGACTAAAGCAGATTTGCAACACTTACCTGGGCAGGGCAGAGGCCTAGGGGACGCATGACTGACAGGTTGAAGATAAGAGTGAGGTGGGCCTGCAGTATAACAAAGAAGAGGCGTTCCTGACTGGAGAGCTGCTGCATTCTGAGTTATTCCTCATCCTGAATTGCACCCTGTTCACTTCTCTAATGAGCCCCATAATTGGGAACATTAGCTATGAATTCCAGGTGGCCATTGCAAAGGAATACCAAACCCAACTATAAAGCAGAGTGCTGTGGAAAGGGTGGTTGGTGTAAGAATAGGGTAAAGAAGGTTGTGGAGTGAAGGCATATCTGTCCTTGGCTTTGTAGAATTTGGTCTTCACCTGATTTTGAGTTTGATTCTTCTTCCTCCTTAGAATCAAATAAACAACTAAACAACGGCATACCTCTTGATAGCTTTACTTGAATTGCATTAAATCTATGTGTCACTTAGGGGAGAAATGGCATTTTACTAATATTGAACTTTGGTATACTTTGTCACTGTGGTATAAGAAGTTTTTTACAAGACCAGAAAATGATATGTGTTAGAAATGATATGTGTTAGAAATGATATGTGTTAGAAATTTGAGTAATGTGCTGTACAGAAATGATGGTTAAGGGACATGTCAATGCCCAAGAAACCATGAGTCCCCCACTAAGGGGGAAGCACTTTACTTTGCTGAAGACATGAAAGATGCTCCTAATAACAGCTTAGACTGAATACAAGAGGAGGTGGACTCCCACTCCACACTGTCCTTGAGCACAGTTCCCTTCGGGAGCCTCCTGGAACATTGGACTATTACCCGGCTGCCCTTGCCGGGGGGTCCTGGTAGTGCTGCAGGATAAGTACTGGACAACAAGCTTGGTTTAAACCGCAAGATCAGTGGTTCAAACCTCACCAGTCACTCCTCGGAAACCCTATAGAGGGGTCACTAGACCCAACGACACTTTACAAGAACAAGCACTTGCCCTGATCGTCTGTGTTCAGACTTTCCAACTCCTTCCCTCTAAAAGGGTAAATTAATTGTTATGCATTATCTGTTTGTGTGTTATTTTAAAAATTCTATGTTGTATTGTGTTATTTTCTGTCATTCTCAAACCACAAGCAGAGTGTTGTTATTGTTAAGTGCTGTCGAGGCAGTTCGGACACATAGCAACCCTGTATAGCCTTCCAATTAGTAATTTCCAAACCTTATTGACAAATAAGCTTTTAAAGCAATAATCAAGGTATATCACTCAACCACAAGGTTGGTTTGAACTGCAAGGTCGGTGGTTCAAACTCACCAGCCACTCCTTGGAAACACTATACAGGGTCACTATGGGTTGGCACCAACTAGACAGCACTTAACAACAGTAACAATCTTTAAATTTATTTAGATTTTCTTTAAATTCTAACAATAATGCTTAATAGTTTTTAGTTTACTGGCCAAATTTGTGTCAGATTTATCTGTGTATCTTATAAAATTGATGCTATTATAAATGGTTTTATTATTTAAATTTCTCATTTTTTGTTGCTAGTAGATTTAACTACATCAACTTGTATTCTGAAAATATCTAAGCTCATTTACTATAGTTTACATTAGAATAGCATTTTCATGTATGTCACCAGCATTTCTGCATAAATAATTATGTCATCTGTGTACAGAGAGAATTTTTTTTTTTCTACTTTTTCAGTCTGAATTCCTTTCATTTCTATTTTGCTTTATTAGCTGGCTACTCCTTCACTATACTGCTGAGTTGAAGTGGTAAGAGCAGACACTTTTGTTGTATGCCTAATCTTATGGAAGAAAGATTTAGTCTTTTAAAATTTGGTGTTCATTTTATAGATGATTTTTATCACATTGAGTTTGTTCTCTTCTAATCTAGTTTTTCAGAGGTTTAATCAGGAATGGATGTTGGATTTTGTCAAATCTTTTCTCTGCCTCCACAGAGGTAGTTTTTTATTTGTTTGTTCGTTTTTCCCTTAGTTTGGCAAAATGGTGAATTGCATTGATAGACTTAAAATATTCAACCAACCTTATGTTCCGTAGAAATATTCCATTTAATCACAAAGCATTATACATGTTAAGTGTTCTTGTATGTGATTTTGTAAAACTTTGCCAGGAAAATTAACAACTATGTCAATAAAGGATATTTTTTTTTTCTGTGATTTCCTCGCTTGTTAGGTCTTCGCTGGTTTTGGTACCAAGGTAATACTTGCATCATAGAATGAACTGATGTGTAGCCCATTCCTTTTAGTGTTTAGTAATGCGAAGATTGTGAGATGGTAGGAGGGAATGGAATCCAAATGA